CGCCGTCGCGAGACAAAGCACCCCCCCCCCCCCCCGTTGCCCACACCTTCCATTTATTAGTTTTTGTTTTTTTTTGTTGGAGTGTTAGTCATGTTTTTTTTTTTTTTGTGGCAGACGAAAATTCCGAATCTTGCCTGGACTGCAGGACAGATGGAGCAGGTGGTGGTATGCAATATGATGAGAGGAGCTTAAAAGCGGGCAAAGCAATAAAAAACAGATTTGTCAGGTGAGAACTCCAGAGTAGACGTTGACCTACTGTAAGCCTCTGTTTTCCTCCCTTATTCCATTAGGAAGCCACAGCAGAGAGCCATTACCATTCTGCATGGCTGCTGGCATTAAGGCAAACTTTTATATCGGCTCCTATAAATCCACATTTCACACTTTTTTTTTTCTTTTTAGAATAATGTGGTTCTCCCGCTTTCTTTTGGAAACCACAGTGTCTATCAAATGCACGTTTTCAGTACATAGTTCACCACGCCTCTTAGTATCGCCCAATGACAGCTGTGCGACAATGTGGTGCAATACAATACGATGATGATGGTTGTGCAGTTGGTGCAGAGAATCGTTATAAGTGACCAGTAAGCAGTAAGTGTAGTACAACTATAGGTGTGCAATTATACAGAAAGTACTTGAGCGTTTTAAAGTGTCTGGTTCTGTGGAATCTTGGTCAATGGCAATTGTTCAGGTCTACAGAAAGCTGGAGCTACAATGATCAGTCCAGTAATATCCGACAGGGGTTTGCAAAAATGCAAAGAGCCACCATGGGTTTACCTCACTGTTTAGGGAGTTAATGGCGAGAGAGAAAGAAGCTGTTTGAATGTTTGCAGGTTTTGATGTGCATGTTTTGATAGCGCTTACCTGAAGGGGGTGGCTGGAAGAGGTTGTGGGCAGGGTGTTGGGGGTCCAGTGGGATTTTAGTTCTTCAATGTGCAAATCTTTGAAAGTGGGTAGGGCAGTACGATTGATGTTTTTCCGCAGTCCTGTCTGTTGCAGTCAGATTTTGTCTTTTATTTGTGGTGGCCCCAAACCAGACGGTGGTAAAGGAACACAGGACTGATTCGATGACTGCTGTTTAGAACTGTCTCAGCAGCTCCTGTGGCAGGCCGTGCAGGAAGTACATCCTCTGCTTGGCCTTTTTCAGGATGGAGTTAATGTTGGCCTCCCACTTCATGTCCTGAAAGACTGTGAATCCCAGCAACTTGAAGGTTGGTTGACATAGGGCAGTTGGATACTGTGGTGGGCAGCTATGGCAAAGGAATGTTCCCTGAAGTCCATGATCATCTCTAGTGATTGTTGTTGTCGCAAGGGCATTTCAAACATGGTCAAAAAGTACAGGTGATCGTCTGCTGAATGTCTGATGCCCATTTGGGAACATTTGCAACCTTCGACGAACCCCATTGAACCCTGATGTGAACACACATTTTTCTACCTTAGTCCACTCTCAGTGGGAGAGGGGCTTTAGAAAAAAAGTCAAATACAAAGTAGTTCTGTATGCATAATAAGGCCTTTGTTTGGTTGTGTAAAAACAGGCAAGGATGTATGAAAATACTGTGCAAAATGAAACGTTGAAATGGCCTTCTTACATAAAGGGCATTATGCTGAACAACAACCATGTGGTCTTGTTGGCTTTCAGGCTTATTGTGATCACTAAAAAAGCACAAATGATTTGAAACTAGTGACTCATTCACAACACAGTTTTGTTGAAAACTGTCCTTACCAACCCATTCCAACTTTCACTGTGCCCCTCATTCGTTTGAAAGGAAGGCATAACTGAGCACAGAGGTTCTTCCTTCTTTCTGGGAGACTCAGCTCAACAATAACTGTGAGAGTTGCACTGAAACAAGAATGCACTTTCCAGCCCTTAGACTAGTAGGCATTTGAGGGAAAAACACCTTCATCCTGGCAGGCAGATTTTTTTAAAAATATTGTTCAGGTCGTTCCCTTCTGATTGCTCATTAATTGGTAATTCTTTTTTTTTCCACATTTTGACCGACACACACACACACACACGCACACGCACACACACACACACACACACACACACACACAGACACACTTCTAGATTCCCAGGGCAACTTTCAGGGTAATGACATTCATTCAGCTACCTGCATCATCTCAGTGGATGCCACCTGCAAAAAAAAAAAAAAAAAGGTAAAATTATACAAATTGCTTCAATGCTCATTCTCATTTTTGCAGAGCAGCAACTCATTTCCTGTCATTTCCATGTAGTATCATACCCCCTGTTGCCTCGTGTCAGCTTAGCAATTAATTTGAGTTTATAGACACGGTGCATGGTGGTGGTGGTGAGGGAGACTCTTTCCCCTCGGTCCCCACCCCACTCACAGCAGAGACATACTCAGCACAGATAAAGTCACTGGATGCATGTGGAGTTAACACCACCTGCGTCAGTCAGTGTCTAGACTTGTACTATTTGTACTGTTAGTGCCATCTCCCACTAAGCATCTCGTAATGACGATAAACTTCCCCTGACACCTCACTTCGGCTTCACCTGAAGTTGCTGTGTCTTCGGCTCTGTAATACGTTCACATCTCATTTAATACCAGCATGCGTTATTTTGGTAGTGCCGCCTTCCCGCTGGTTTGCTGCTGAGCCATCTGTGAATTCCTCTTTTGATTTGTTGCATTCCCACCCTGAATTCCTCAGTCACCAGATGCCGACCACTGTCATGATAGTAATAAAGACGATTGGGTTTATTGGTGGATAGTCAAATTTAGTATTCATGTCCTTAAAAAAACATAACAATTAGTAGAAAAGGAGAATGAGAACAAGGTTGGAGCTTGTTACTCCCACTATTCTGCTAGAACAGTCACCATTCAAATTCTGAGCATAACTCATTTCAGCAGAACTGGTTGGCTTCCAATTTGTTTTAATTAATTTTCCCATCGGAAATCAGGGAATGTGAATTAATTCATTACAGGTTCAACTGCTATTAAACTCTATCAACTTAACAAGCAATGTTTGAAATAGAAGTTTAATATTTGGAGCTGTCACAAAAATCTAAAATATAGTTGCTTGAATAGAGTAGAATAAAGTAGCCCAAAGAGAGCTGGGATAGGCTGCATCTCACCCATAACCGAAATAAACACTAAAATGGATGAATGTACAGAATAAAGTAAAACCGTTTACCTTTGAGGATGGCTCCCGTTGTCTTCCAAGTCATTTTATACACAGTTGGTGGAGCCTTTAATCCATGAAAATTCATTTTGGTTGCTTTTTGCAATTTCCACTGAGCAAAAATAAAAAATTCCTCATAGTTTGCTTGTATTTTTGTTTTCAAAGCAAAACTTTAAAACCTATTTTTTTTTAAGCAATATCGTGGAAAACCCGCGACCCCAGTTCGGATAAAGCGGTTCGGGAAATGAATGAATGAATATCGTGGAAAATTGCTCACATGGCAATTGGTCAATCTATTGAGGGCTGAACAAAGATTGAAAATACAGTAATCTACTAGTAACTTTTTTCCTCAAAATTGTGATTGTGCTGATTTTTTTTCCAAGGTCCTTTCCTAATGTATTTATCTCTATGTATTTTTCATTACTACAACTACAATATCAGATGGATTATGCATTATAGAATACTAAGGTAAAGACAAGTGAAACAATTAAAATGAAACACTTTATCTACTTTGTATTACAATCATAGGGATATATTTACGTCGGTCTTCGGTTTCATTCATGAGAAATACGGCCACATTTATCCCCTTAATATTTGACCGCTTCACAACTTTGTATGGATGTGTTTTAATTTGTCATGGTTCAAGTAGCCGCGCACTATAGTCTTGGTCTTTGTGTGTGCTCAAACATCAGTGACACGTAGATCGTAATAAACCCTTTTCTTGTACATGAGACGGAAACCTCACCAAAAGTTAGTGCGGCAGTTGTTTGTCTTCCTTGAATGAATTTTCAGGATTTTTCATCTGTAATCCCACTTTGCCTCACTGGTATCATTCGGTAGTAGTGTCCTAAAAATCACACACTCCCACACACAAACAAATAAATTGTATTGGATTTTCCTGCTCACTGAGATGAAGTCTCAGGAGAGTTATTCATGCTGAGCAGTCTTAAGTTTTGTTTGACTTGTGAAGTACTTGTGTGTTTCCAGAATTGTTTTCATCTTGCTCTAAACCAGAGGTCATCAACCTTTTTCAAACTGTGAGCTACATTTTGGTGGTGATTAATGCAGGGGTGCACTTTTGCTTACATTTCTTTTAATTACATATTAACAATTAATAATGCTCATCTATGTGAAAAAACTGATGATGTTAATGAATTCTCACATTAATGATCCACATTGATTTAACAAGTTATGAAACAGGGATCAAAATACAAGACTTGAATTTGCCAGCATTCCTATGAATTCATACTGTCCCATCACTGGTGAGCTTGTATTAAAACAGGCCTGCGGGCTACTTGTGTGGTCGTTGGGTGCTACTGTGTGCCTGCAGACACATGTTGTCGACCCCATGCTTTACAATAGCTATTCAAATTTGGAGGCTCTAATTGCAATATGATTTTTGTCTGTCTAAGTTGTGATTTACACTGTGTGACAATAACATTCTGCCCCCCCCCTTTTTTTTTTCTTCCTTCCGACTGGCCTGCTCATGGATGGTGCTGGCAACTGTAGTCTCATGTGAGTACAGTTATCAAAACAATATAATGCAGGAAATGGCTTGACTCAAAAGACAAATGTGCAAAGCTTTGACTTGCTGTGTGTGTTTTGGCCTGCAGGTGATTTCAACAGAGAAGTCATGGGACCATATTTTCCGACTGACAGGACCTGGCGCTGACCAAGACCCCAAAGGTCTCTTTACTATTGACATAGACACAGGAGACGTGTCAGTCACTCGCTCATTGGACCGAGAGATCATCGATTCATACCAGGTCAGTCTTCTGTGGTGTCACAAAATTGACACTGAAAAACTGTAAAATAAAACTCAAATATTACAAATAGATGAGTAAAATCAAAGGGAACACCTTTTGAAATTGTTTGGCGAACGGTAGCACCATATTTAAGACTGAAGGAAATTTGCATGAGACACGATAAGGCGGTCGGTGCCTGTCATGGCGGAAATCCTCAAACATGTTTGTCGACACCAGCGGCAAGGGATACCATCAAGCTGAAGAAGCAGTGCTGCTAGGCATTTTTGGCCTGTGGGAGTGCTCAGGTAGTTGATGGGTACCGACTGGCTCAGCGGAACGCAGCTTTGGCGTTCATCGAGGCAAAAACCTAGCCGTTCCGTAGAAGGAGTTCGGTGAGGCCATGGGAAATGATATGGACGTTGGACGACAAGGAAATTCTTCTTCACTATCCGGCATCTCTGAAAGTGGAAGCAATGCACCTTTAACAGTGGAAATGGGTGCTGCTGACCTTGACTTGGGACATACAGGTACTTTGAAGACTTCCTCAAATCCACGACACAGTTTCCGTTGTGGAAGCGGAGTCAGGGTACTCTGAGGTGGACACTGCTACTCTGCAGTATCTGGGGTTGAAGTCACCCAGGTGGTTGAAAGGCACAAGATCCATCCAGACTTCCTAAAAGGCTTGGATGTTGTGGGGCTGTCCTTCTTGACACACCTCTCAACATCGTGTGGACACCGGGGGCAGCTTGGGGTGGTGGTCCTCCTTTTTAAGAAGGGGGACTGGAGGTTGTGTTCAAACTACAGGGGGATCACACTCCTCAGTCTCCCTGGTCAGGTCTATTCAGGGGTGCTGGAGAGGAGCGTCCATCGGGAAATTAAATCTCATATTAAGGAGGAGCAGAGTGGCTTCCATCCTGGCCGTGGTACAGTAGACCAGCTCAACACTGGAGGCTGCGTCGGAGTTTGTATAACCAGTCGACATATGTTTTGTGGACTTGGACAAAGGCGTTTGACTGTGTAGGAGTGGACTCTGTATTGTTCTATTGTGGTGAAGAAGGAGCTGAGTGCAAAGCATAGCTCTCGATTTATACCGGTCAATATATGTTCCTGATCACAAGCTGTGAGTTGTGAATGAAAGAACAAGATCCCGGATACAAGCAGTCGAGATGAGTTGCTCCACAGGGTATTTGAGCTGTCCCTTAGAGATAGGGTGAGAAGCTTGGTCATCCGGGAGAGACTCAAAGCAAAGCGGCTGCTCCTTTGCGTCAAGAGGAGGCAGATGAGGTGGCTTGAGGATACCGCCTGGATGTCTCCCTGGTGAAGTGTTCCAGTTACGTTGCAGCAGGAGGAGGCCCCGGTGATGACCCAGGACACACTGGATAGTCTTTCTCGCGGCTGGTCTGGGAACGCCTTGGGCTTTCCCTGGAAGAGCTGACAAAGTGGCGAGAATTTCCTCAGATTTCACTTGTCTCTGTTATCCTTGCTGATTTGTATCAATTTCAGAGTCTTTCTCGCGGCTGGTCTGGGAACACCTTGGGCTTTCCCTGGAAGAGCTGACAAAGTGGCGAGAATTTCCTCAGATTTCACTTGTCTCTGTTATCCTTGCTGATTTGTATCAATTTCAGAGTCTTTCTCGCGGCTGGTCTGGGAACACCTTGGGCTTTCCCTGGAAGAGCTGACAAAGTGGCGAGAATTTCCTCAGATTTCACTTGTCTCTGTTATCCTCGCTGATTTGTATCAATTTCAGAATTTAAATAATCTAGTCAGTCCAATTGTAAATGCAGGATGATCTGAAAGGGTAAAATTAAACTAGGGCATCTGGAGGTGCCATTACCCTGCACATCAGCAGTAATTCTACTGTGGTTTGCACTCCACCTGCCATTTCATAAATATTTAACATTTGGCAGGTGTTATAAACCACATTGGAAGTGTGATTTATCCTGCACTGCTTATAAATGCTACACACTGTGATTAAAGAACATTCGCTATACCTAAATTGCCAGTTAAAAATGACAGTTCTGTTCACGTCAAGATCAATGTAGGCATTGCCTGATAGGCAACACTTGGCAGGAGATTAGAGCGACAGTACATGTATTGCATTGACTTAATAATAAATAATAATAATATATATAAATAAATAAATAATTAATAAATAATGCAAAATATGTCATAAATGCAACTGAAGCTGAACACATACTCCCCTCAAATTCCAGATGTTAACTCGATTAGACATCAATACAAATAAATGTGATGACATGAAAAAAACAGACCATCTTGCAAAATATCATAAGTACAGAGCAAAATGCAAACGTTATTAGAGGTGGGGAAAAAAAGTCGACCAACTCAACCAAGCAACCACAAAAAATGGTCAGCAGATGTTTGTTTCGCCCCGAGCTACCATTGTATGCCTTCCACACAAATATTTCCGGGCCATGTACGTCCATTGCACTCTTATTTTTAAACCATTCTTGACTTTTCCACCGTTTATTAGCACCCTCTCTTGCTGGAAAGTTGACACTGCAGTCAGTGAGATTTTCCATATTAGGAGTGGGGCACGTCTCATAAGGTGTCGCCACAATATGTTTGGCGCAGTTTTTACACCGGATGCCCTTCCTTATGTTTTCTGCACTATAAGGTGCTTCGGATTATTAGGCGCACCTTCAATGAATGGCATATTTTAAAACAGTTTTCACATAAAGGGCGCATTGCATTATAAGGCGCATAGAAGCTACAATAGTGGCTGCGCTATGCATTCACAAGATGATGTTACGCTACAGGAATACAATATCAGGGAACTGTTTTTGTTTTACGCTCGGTCATGGCACCCACGTGCTCCCACTTCGCCTGTTCACCTGTGGCATGTTCCAAACAGATATTTGATGAGCATTCCTCGACTTTCTGAGTCTGTTTTGCCACCTGTACCAACTCTTTTGGAAGATGTTGCAGCCATAAAATTTAATGGAAAAAAAGTTAATCAGGTTGAACATTAAATATCTTGTCTTTGTCATGTATTCAATTAAAGTTAGGTGGAAAATGATTTGCAAACCATGCGTTCTGTTTTAATTTGTTCAACACAATGTCCCGACTTCATTGGAATTGGGTTTGTAAATGTGTGTGTGTGTGTGTGTGTGTGTGTGTGTGTGTGTGTGTGTGTGTGTGTGTGTGTGTGTGTGTGGTGACATTTTAAATTTGTAATTGTGTGCCTTCCAAAAAGGTGAGATGCTTAAAAGTGTCAACATATTCAATGCTTCAGCTTGGTATTTGTGAAAAAAGTGCTGTCTACCTTGTGATGTCCTTTGACAGCACATCTAAGAGGCACCCAGCAATGCCTCGGCTATAGTGTGCCTGTCAAATCATGTCACGTAGTGAGAAGATGCATTTGCAAAAATCATCATCTGAAATCTAAGGCTTTTAACCGTCATAGAGTATAAATTATGCTCTCACTCAACTTACACAAAATAACTGTTGTGCCTCTCACTCTAATCAGTTTTACATAATTGCCTTTTTGACTTCATAGCGAGCAGCCTTGAGTGTTTTATTGCCTATAAATGATGAATAATTTATTGCTTGCCATTGTAAATGGCAAGCCTTTACTTAAATTTGTATTGTTTTGCATCTGTAAGGGTATGCCTTATCATTCTAACAACACCAGATCAACTCGGAAGTGGCCCCCCATAATAAATCGCATGCCCTGATTCACTAGCAAACAGCCAAACAGAGTGATCGATTTGTCACAGATGGCTGACGCCATTTTGCATACTGCAATCAATGGCCCATTCATTCAAATCATATCTAAAATGCACGATCACAGAAACATCTCTTAATTCTTCACATTACTAAATGTTGCAAACTGTAGTCTTTTTTTCCTTTTCTGATACAGGTCGAGGAAAAAAGAAAATGCAGTGTGAGCCTTCCTTTATGTGTCAAAAGGTTTATGTTGCACCTGGTGTTTTTTTCCCCCCCCCCCCTTTTCTGTGATATATGGTCCAAATGGCCCTTTGAATATTAAAGGTTGCTGGCCTCTGGTGTAGTGGTACTTTTGCCTGACTTCGGTGCAGGCAGCACTGGTTCGTTTCTTACTCAGTGACAGCGTGAATATAAGTGTGAATGACTGTCTCGCTCTGTATGTGTGACCTTGAGATTGACTGGCAACCCGTCGGGGGTGTAGACAGGCTCCATCTCCATGGGACCGCCAACAGGATAGAGAAAATGGACGAGTTGATCTTTCTTTCAAATGGCTTACTTTTCATTCATAGGTTGTTTTAATAGAGGGCGAAAGCACAGTCTATGACATTCATTAGGCATTGACACCATTTCACTTTTATGATTACACATGAATTACAATAATAGACAGCTGTTATGCATACCAATGTAAAACCCACTGGATTTGTAGTTGCTGCTAACGTTTGTCCCAATCCTTCTCCTGTTTTCTGCTTGACTGGACCATAATTTCCTGGGCTTTAGAGTGCACGATACGCTGCCCTGCACACAAGGAAATAGGCCTCGTGTGCACTTAGTCTCTATATGTGGGCAATAGATAAAGCACAACACACACACACACACACACACACACACACACACGCGCACACACACACACACACACACACACACACGCACGCACACACACACACACACACACACACACACACACACACACACACACACACACACACACACACACACACACGCGCACACACACACACACACACACACACACACACACACACACACACACACACACACACACACACACACACACACACACACACACACACACACTCACACTCTCTCTCCATCGTTAGTGTGTACCGTCTATCACAAGGTCCAGTGCAAACACACAGGTAGAGGCCATAACTGAGATAGTCCTTCATTTAAGAAATGCTGTCATGATGCTGTAATGCCACATGGTGTTGGATGCCACTAACGACATCTTGGTGTCTCTTTACTTTTTACTGTTGCTGGATATAATTATTTGTTCATTTTGCACTGTTGTCTTTGTTTTTTTTTTAAATCTGTTTATT